AAGGTTGGAGAATGTTGATTCGTTATAAATATATGCATTAAATTGGTTTAGGTATTTTTGTAAGGCATTTTGGTTGGATATTTTTTAATTTTCGATTGGGGCATCAATCCATCATTATTGTTATATATTTGTTTTATATCAATCGTGCTATATAAAGACACATACAATGATAAGCACTAATCTATGAAATATATTTTTAAACGCCAACGTTATAAGTTATAAATCCAAATTGTGGCATAATATTGAAATATTAAGATGTTTGTAATTTAAATACAAAAATAAAATTCGTAATATCACAAATATATATATATATATATATTTGATTCACACAAATGCGATATCCATTATAAATAAACCACGTTTAACATGCCACATAATTTGCATATTTACAATCTCCCCTTTCCTACCTTAATTAAATAAATATGTTTACAAAATTATACAATGAATCTGTAAACAAAATGCAGTGTGATCTACATGTATCCAAGAAGAGGAAAGTTGAATGATGGCCAATATGCATTACATTCATTTAATTGTTTCATAATGTAATTACTTCTAAATACAGTCAGCATCGTAAAGAAAAACTCAACTTTGTGATTTTCTTTCAATATATAGTCACCAGCAGCGAGTATTTCATCAGGTATGAATTTGTCGAGTTGCATTATTTCATTGAAAAGTGACTTTCTTTTATTCATATTTTCAACTTCTGTTTGGAAGTAAGCTAAAATGTCTTTCATCACATTCATAGCCATATCATATGAAGCACCAACATTGTTAATAAGATGCACCAACTTAACAATTGGTCCATCTTCACTCCTAGAACCTTTTTTGCCTAACAACATTGTCCTAGAGTTGCTCGAAGTAGTAGAACCAATTTTGTCGTCATCGTATCCTTTCTTTACATTTCCTTCGGACATTGATATCAAATTTAGAAGAGAAATAAGCATCGCCATTAGCATTCAATTATTTCAACTGCATCAGCTATTATTTTAACTCGTTAATCAATTGCTCTATTAGATCCAAATATCACTTTAAAATCATCAAAAAATAGGGAATGTTTGTTTCTTAACCCTTTAGCATGTGGGTGTGACTGGCATAAGCTAAAGCAAATACGAATCAAAATAAAAAAACTCATGGAAAAAAATGTAAAAAAGATAGATAAGCCATAATATAATATTTAAAAAGTATCCAAACCTATTCATCAAATACTTATTTTTTAGCTATGATATATTTTTCTTGATCATTGCACCCAAATCCACTAGAATTTTTTATATCACAAATTGCGTGATATTATTTCTTAAGTAGCTTAACCTTAGATTCGATGTAGGTGGAGACTTTAAGTTGTGAATTAGGGACGATTTGCTCTAACATTCATTCAATATAACCTAGATATCCGACGTAAAATGCCTTATTATCCGCTCTCCATCTAAGATCTTCAACCAAAGAATGTAGGCATTAAACCATATGAAAATCCTCCTATCGAGTTTATGAATGGTTACCAACGCCTGAACTATCTAATCTTCTTTTGGAGACACCTCGAATTGATTGCGATAGATTGGCACGCGATGAAGACATGTTCAATTTCTAGTCACATAGTTAGACATTATGAAACAATATCAATATAGTAAATAAAAAACAATAAAGGGAATGAAATAAACGAATACACATGGAAAGAAAGTAAAGAAATGTGTACTCCAAATTGTAATATTCATTGGACAATCAAGAATGCCTTAACTATATGGTAAACATATATTCAACATTGATATAAAGTAAATTCTACACTTAACCATATGGTACATACAATAAAAACAATAAACAAATAATAAAATACAAAACATATCTATAATATTATTATCCCTGGGATTGCAATCAATGGGTGAACATCTCATTAGCTAGATTATTTCTAAACTGAGTCCAAAAATTAGATGGCTCAACATGCGTAATTAAATCTTGATGTTCATATTCATTTGGTTAGAAAATACTTACTTCAGCAACATCTCCTTCAATAGGGTAAAAACCATTTCAGACCTAATAAAATTATGAAAAAGGTAACAAACAGAAATGATTTTACACTATATCTTAATTGAATAAAATGACTTCTCTCTTAAAATTGTCCATCTAGCTTTCAATATACTAAAACATCTCTCGATAAAATTTCTTACTTAGAAGTGTTTCATATTGAAGTATTCATGTAAGGTTGAAAGTTGAAATCTTGCCTTTCAGTCTTAAGATGATATCATTGACCTCTACAAGGTTCCAAGAATCCTTCCCCATTTATGTATCCAGCATCACACAAATATTAATTATCTATTAGAACGTTCAACAACATTAACAATATAAAAATAAGGTGTCTCAACATTAACATTACATAAACATAATAAAAATAATACCTTGTGGGATCTTCAACCCATTCTTACATGTAATGACATCTCTTAATACTCTGCTATCAACTGCAAAATCTTCTCATCCAGGTAAAACATATATGAACTACATATCTAGAGTGCAAACACCAAGGACATTGGTAGCAATTTTATTTTTTCTAGTTCTGTATCTAGGTCTGTCAACTATGTTTACGTTGACTTTGATGTATGTCCCATTCAAGGCATCCAAACATACCTTCAAACCATTTCCATATATTATCTGTTGAATTTTTTTATATGGGTTCGGGTTTTTAAGCAACAGCTTGTATAATTTTAAAACAAAATTCAACATAAAATGAAATTGTCCATTAATCGTCTCTCCAAATCTGGCCAATTGATGCTTCATAATCTTATTTTTTGTAAAATAGGCAATGATGTGGGATCAAGCTAATTACTAGTTCTTTTATTGACATATATCTAGATAACTATAACGCCTTTCTATTATAAGCAAAAGCTTTCCTATCTATTATAATATTATCTAGACATTGTATATCATTGTCAAAGATTATTGTATTTAAGTTTAACTCCTTAATACATAGCATATCATAAGATATTCCACTATAAGATAGTCTACATTGTTTTCTTACATTAATACTTAATAAAGTTACAGCATCAAAACATAACACATGCAACAAAATCTCCATCTGGTAATGCATCATAAGTAATGTAACCAATTGCATCTTTCTTCTTAATGATAAATCAACCATAACTATTTAGAAAATAGATTATCACTAAATTTAAAAACATAATGGAAAGCGAATCTTGCAATATGGTAGATGAAATCTATCAAACATCATCAAATAAAATATAAATCACAAAAAAAAAAACATTAGAAGATTGGAAAGAGCTAAAACAAATTAATCACAAAATAAGGCGTTTATATCATAAACCTAAATCCAGATATAAAACATCTTAAAAATGTAAATAAGTTCAATGGAAGGCAACATCAATTATACACTATCAATAAAAAAGTATACACATCGTTTCGTGTAAAAAAACCAAAATAAACTTAACATGACGAAAATTAAATGACAGATGAGGAAGCTGATATTTTTTCAAAAAAAAAAGTAAATGTTGTAAGCTGAAATCTGTTTAAATATAAATGAGAAACATATTGATTTTGAAACATGATGAAGATATCGAATAAGGTGTTTAATATATACAAACCCCATATTTGATATATAAATTATAAGCTCTTATGTTTCACAATTAGACATTAAAACATTCATATATCAAAATACGACCATAGAAAGAGAAAAAAATTTTATATGGATCAATTAAGACGATTGTAAAAAGAAACCCCTCAAATAATAATTATTTAAGATTTTTTTTTATACAAACGTCTTAATCGTTTGTTTACAAACTTATCTTAAAAAGATCATGTCATACACTCTGATCAATGAAAATAAAAAACTTTTTTTAAAATTATCAATTAAAATATTTCAATTTAGCAAACACCTTAAATAATTGAGTCAAAGATTGATTGAGACATTTAAAGAAGAAAATATCATATTTGATGATCATTTAAGGTGTTTTTACGAGGAAAAACACCTTAAATGATCATCATTTATGGCAATTCTTCAACAAAAACACCTTAAATGATAAATTGCAATAAAAAAAATCATATTTGATGATCATTTAAGACTTTTTTAACACCAAAAGCCATTAATTGCAATAAAAAAATTTTAGCGAAAAAAGTACGACTAAATTGTTATCACTTCAAAACATGCTTTTCAAAAGAATAACGACTATTTTCAATTTTTTTTATTCAAATCAAATTTAAAAATAATACAACTTTCCCTTCCAAATCCTAAAATACCACAAGAATATGTGAGTTTATGATTCTAAAATTTTAGGTATTATTGAGAATCTGTCACTTTCTTTCGTAATCGGATTACCTAGAATCAAACATGAAAATCTAATAACTACCATCAAGATTTTCGAAGAAAATTTGTAGGTTCTCTTGAACCAAATGCCCCCTTCAATTAATGAAACCTAATTGATTTTACAATGAACATATTCTAAGAAAAAACCAAATTGAAATCTCTTTTCTCCCTTCGAAACATGCTTTTCAAAAGAATAATGACTATTTTAAAATTTTTTGTTCAAATCAAATTTAAAAATAATACAACTTTCCCTTCCAAAATCCTAAAATACCACAAGAATATGTGAGTTATGATTCTGAGATTTTGGGTATTATTGAGAATCTGTCACTTTCTCCTGTAGTCGAATTACCTAAAATCAAACATGAAAATCTAATAACTACCATCAAGATTTTCGAAGAAAATTTGTAGATTCTCTTGAACCAAACGCCCCTTTCAAGTATTGAAACCTAATTGATTTTACAATGAACATATTCTAAGAAAAAACCAAATTGAAATCTCTTTTCTCCCCCCCCCCCCCCCCAAAAAAAAAAAAAGAGTAATAAAACCTCCTCCGAATCATCTCATCTGCAGCCAATAGCAACACATTTAGACATTGGGTTGCTACCCAAAATGCCAAGTAAGAGACCAAAATTTTGAGTAATATAAGATCATCCGGGGATGGCATATCACTATCTCACATGGTACAAAGAGATAGAGGTAGTAAAATGAGCTCAATACTCAAAATAAAGATGTAAAGATTCATAATAATACAAAACTTCTTGTTTGTAGATATTACCTGAAAAATAAAAGTAACACAGTTGATAAAAACACAAAACTTCTTGTTTGTCAATTCAGGAATCTCAAAACAAAACACCACAAACAATTAACTTATGAAGCAGCAACAGCTGCCTTGTTCCTTGGAGTTGCTTGAGTACCTGACAACAATTCAAGAAATTCCCATTACCATCCTATCGGTCAAACACGTTTTCATTTCAAACAAAATATGATTCAATAAAAAAATAGTGAAATACCCTCTCTAAAGCCAGTCTTGAACCTTCGGGGAACATGACGGAGGTACCTCATGCGGCCAGTCCCGGTAGTCTTTCTTCTAATAGCCTTCACACTCCAGTTATCTAAGGCCAAAAACACAAGCCAACTCAACAAATCAATCAACGAGCTGATACTACCAATAAAAGCCACTGTTCAACAGACAGAATTGACCAAAAAGTAAATCAGCAACAATCCCAGATGGTAGCTTCAACCAAGCAATGACAATAAAAAATGGCTTAGTATAGCTTCAACCAACTTTAGCAAGGACATGGAAGATCAAAAGAATCAGCATGGAAAATGGTTTATAATCTGTTAAATCCAAATCGAACAGATAACTAAAAGTTCCATGGGCTGATTATCATGAATTCTTTAACTTGCCGACCTTATCTAAGTTCAGCTAAGCAACAAAAAACAGAGCAAAAATGACAAAAATATACGGATTTCGAAAAATCTAAAGGAAAGAAGCAAAAGAAAAATTACATTTCCGGATGCGGCTGGCAGGGTAGCCACAAGCACCGCAACGGCTCTTCTGGAGATGGAAGCTTCGGCGTCCACATCGAACGCAAAGAGTGTGTGTCTTGTTCCTTCTCTTCCCAAAGCTTCCAGTTCCTTTTCCCTATCAAAAAAACAAAAAATCAAACTTACAGTCAATTTCAGTTTCTCCATAAATAACATCTATTCAGAGAATTAAATCAAAATAATAATACCATTTCTTCTGTTGCTGTGCAGCAAAAATCTTACAATTGTGAGGGGCGTTGCGAAAAGTTTCGACGAAATTAGGTTAAGGTAATTATATAGTGATGAAAAAAGTTAGGGTTTTGGTCATGTTCGCCTTAGGACCGAGGCGCTGGCAGGACTCCAAGAGAATGTTAACGGTGTTCTTACTGAGCCCATTTACAGAGAAAACCCACTAATAACCCTAAAATTGTTGTTAACCCAATTAAATTTATCTAGGCCTTTGGTTGAACTTCAATGGCCCTATATTCAGTTTGTTCACATTTTTCTTGGGCATGCAAAATTTATGCAAATTTAGCACTATGTTTTGGATCTTGGACTACATAGCTGTAATTTGCATCCCACCTTAAAGAGAGAGATAAGGAAATTTGTAATTAGAGAATGAGATAAAAAAATTATCATATTATCTCTTTTGTGCTATCTTTTCCAATGAATAAAAAATCGGATCAAAAGTTGAATCAGTGAGGATTTGGATTTTAGATTCAACCAGTAAGTCCAATGTAAAATATATATATATATATTAAATACATTATTTTAATATTAAATATAGTAAATAATTAACATAAAAATGCAATTGGCTTCATAATAGTATAATAGAGAGGTTAAAAGTTTAAATCCCATTACAAATAATTTTAAAATGATAAAATAATTAATATAAAACTGGTATAATTACATATTTTTTACCAGGATGAAAACCCAATTTAATACTATATTTTATTGGACCAAACAAGCCACCGATTCAATCGATTGGTCCGATCTGATTCTTTTATTCATCCGTCATTCCGTTCCATTGCCTTTGAATTTTGCTAAAATTACCGTAGCTATTCTTTTTAACATCGACGTAAAAACTCAAATTGTCCCATGCAGACTTGCACAAAGTACTACGCCGTAAAAAAAAAAGAAAAAATTACAGAAACTTTTCAATGTTAGATAATGAATCATTAGATAGGCAGAGCTCAGAAACAACACGAATATGCCAACTCTGAAGGTTATATATATTGGATTGGATCCACGCTCATATATCATTATTTACTTCTTTGTGAGATTTGCTTGCCAGCAATGATATGTATCTAATTTCGTGCTACAATCGTGGACTGCTTCTTCAAAAAGGGAAAGCTGAAAGCTCCCTTACAATGCCCTTATTAACTAGTACTGATGGAATTTCCATGTTTTTGGAGATCTTCTAGCAGATCACATTCTGCATTATTATTCTTTTAAAAGTTAATGCTTCACAGTTGGATCATAGAAAGAAAGCAATATTGCACTAGTTAAACTTGCCCTTTTTCATGTAAGGAGATTTATACAAGATCGTGAGGACAAAAATAAGAAGAACATATTTCTACTATGAATTGATTTGGTAGCTTAGTGAATGTTTTCACCATTCTATATAACAACTGATGTGCCTGCTATCCTTTTGTTTTATTGGGGTACTTTGTTTCTTCTGATATGTCTTTAAAAATTATGGTGAGTCATTGTCTAAATACAAATGGAGGAGTCTTAGTGTACTCATGATTAATGAGAATTAGATGGAAAATTGACAAGGCAATCACAAAGAAAGTCAGAGAAGAAGCAATATAATGGTCCAAATTAAAGAACGTTTAAGTTAAGAAAGAAACTGTGAGGACTTATGAATTTTCCATTTCATCCTGCAAAGTGCAAAAAGCTGAATAATGAGCAAGTAACATGCATGCAACTGGAGCAAACTTTGAGTGCGGCACTTCTTCAAGATAATAGAGCCACCGGGAGAAGAATCCTTGTTATACCCAATACTTATCTAGATTCTTTAAAGAGAAAGAGCAAAGGGAGGGGGGAAAAGTGAGCAAGTGGTTTTGATGCTTTGCTTTCACCAAGCACATAAATCATCTCTCCTCAATTTCCCTCTACCTCTTTCTCTCTTTCCTTTTGAATTAGCTGTCTCCTTCATTGCACACTGACATAAAGAAAGAAACCTCAGAGACTGACATAAAGGAGAAAAAGGGAACAAACTAGCAAAAATCTGTACTAAGTATGAGAGAGTGTCTGATGAAATTAATAAGCTTCTTCAACTTTTAATTATAAGGGTTGAGATTGAGCAAAGGACCTTTTTTTTTCCCTAGTTTTCACCAATTAAGAAAGAACAGTGTATCTTGGAATCTGTATAGAGCATGTGAACTGAGGATTTAGTTATGACTGAAAGATTAGAAAGGTCATGGTCTTATCTGAGAGAGTGGCGGTCCCAACTCCCCCAACCCAATCCAACAAAGAGTATGACCGAGAGCGAGAGAAAAAGAGTAGCACAATTTTGCATGAACTCTCCAGCTAGTCTCTAGTCTCCAGTCTCTCCCTTAGTGCGACATGATCTTCTTCAAATTATATGATTATAGTCTTTCATTTTCATCTATATGCACGCCCTTGCTCGTCTTGCCCTTTTCAGACACGTAAAAAGTTCTCCCTTTACAGCAAGGAGTCTGTCCTAAGACTTCGGAACCCATGGCAATACCAGCGATGGAAATCCAAGTTCTTCAGTCATATCCACAGGCCACAGCCCTGTTCAACTTAGACTTCATGTTTACGACTATATATTCAATCTGATTTGTTAAAATCCTAAAATGGTTTAAGTAGAATTAATCTCAGTAAATTAATTACATCCCTCTTGACAATTGTTTGGTACAAAAAGGGGTTCAAAACAAAGGAAAATGCAAGTGCTGAAATTAAAATCTTAATTTTACAAGAAATTCAGAAATGTAAGTGAATTTTACAACTGATCATAAATTAACTTCTAAAGTACTTAATAATTGTCTATGTAAAGGAAAACGGAGAAGATAAAGATTGAGCCATGTCGATTGTTCTTGTCTTTATGATATAGTTGTAGCGACTAATAGGGAATGCAACAAATGAATGTGTCTATTATCTGTCCTTGTTGATATAATATCAGGAGTGATGAAAGGCGGTGGAGATTTTATATTAGAATAAGAACTGTGATGATAAACTAATGGATCGTCCATCTCAATCGTGAATAGAACTCGATGACAAACTTGACATTCTGATGCTTGAATCTTTACATCTTTTGGAAATACCTGTGATGCCACTATTAATCAACCACCCCCAGCACTATAACCATGAAAGATCAATTTTAGTTTAGTTTCTTTGATAGGAACTGGTCAAAATTCCACCTGCACCTGATAACAACTATTATATATTTTTTTGCTTTGTGAAAGGTATATTTAGGAAAAGATCATTAACATGTTTTTTGACACGTGTAAAAATAAAATAAATTTATATTTGAACATCTGATTCAATTATTAATGTATGTAAATTGTACTATTTAAATATGATTCGAGTTTTTTTTTCCCCAAATAAAAAAAAAAAACCATAAATTTAGATATGATCGTGGATATATAGCTTTCTCTTATTCTATAAAGCTTAATATCCCTCAAGATTCAAATTAATACAAGAGCTATAAGTTAAAAGTTTAATTTAAATTCTGATTGTTGCATCTGATACTCAAAACTTACATCTATTTATGTTCTTACATAAAATATAAACTCATAAAACTATAGGAAAATGAGTTTAACCCAATTAATATTGAAGAACTCCTTGTTAGTTAAAACAGTACTCTTTCTTCTTAGACCAAGATATTATATAGGTTCAATAGAATAATTCCCTCATCCAATAAGTCAATTTTGGTGTTATAAATATAATGAAGAAATTTAATTATAAAATCCATGACAAAAAAGGAATATAACACTAAAAAATGTATACAAATTGCACAATTTTGTTAAATACCTGATGAATACGCAACTCATTATTGATAAATACTCCTAAAAATTTAATTGAAGATGGCGACACCTCAAAATATCATAATATTAGTGACATTATTATTTATTATAAAATTTTAAATTTAAATTTAATTAATTTACGTATGCAAGTATTTTTAAAAGATGGTATTCAATTCATTCTATTATCTTAAGTTATAACTTTTTTTTAATAAGAAATTATTCATTCTATATATATTTTTCTCTTATTTTTCTGCTCAATTTATTGCAATTTTAATAATATATTTTTGTCTACTTATCAAAACACATATATTATTGATATATACTTTGGGATCAAATCTAGCCAATAGGATTGATATGGCAATATCTTTTATTTATATTTCCTTTATCTGTATGCATTTTGGTGACAGACATTCCAGAAACATTAATTATCATGAATTAAAATTCTCTTCCCTTTTTTGAAAAAAATTGTTTCGATCAAACCGTTCAGATAATCAATTTTAATGGACCACACTTAATTAAGTCTGCTTAACACATCAAATAAAAAAAAAAAAAAATTGGATGGTCCTGATTAGCCCACCATGTGACACACGATCGACGTGTAGGTACAGTCATAGGAAGGAAGTAGTGAAATTGCTTATCATCAGCTTGTGGATGATATACTTTAACAAGGACCACTCTTGTTGGTTAAGTAAAGGGCTGCCCTTAAAAAGATGCTTTAATGTTGGTCTAATTATCCAATAGAATACCTTTAGTTGGTTCGCAAAACCTAATTTTTTTCTTATTTCTTGATCTTGTTGATGCTTTATTTTTCCTTAAATTTCTCCTCTTAAAATATAATGAGTAGTAGTTTAACACTGTCATTATCACGCATATGTAAATAAATTCATAACATTATCAACATTTTTGTTTTTTCTTCGCTTCATTATCTATAGAAATTTTTTTTATAAAAGAAACTATAATATGAGAATAAATAAAAAAAATATATATGTACCTCTTAAAAATAGTTCTACGAACCAATTGAAACTCTGATTTTATTTTGTATGGTACTTTGTCGGTCAATATGTGCCGATAAATTTGCTAAATTATTTATTGAAGAGTATGTCTATATATATGTTGGAATGCATGTAAGAATCATCCTTTCTTGGGGTTTAGTTTGGTGGGACTATGATTGATATGTAATTGACATTTTTAGTGAACATAAAATAATTCAATAACCTAAAAATCTAAGTAATAATTAAAATTTTTCATCAATGTGATAGGCTGGGAAATGCTAGTTCCTTTTGTCAAATAACCAAAAAAGCCAGCTAATAGACGTCTATGTCAAGCTTTGGGAATAACAATGAATTGGGTTTCACCATTTAATCTAATAATTGATACTTTTTAAGTTAATTTGTAGAAAGTTGCTAATATATCTATCTTCATTAAAATTATAATGAGGATTTCTTTGGAAGACAAGAATCATACATAACCATAGAAATGGAAGATTTTGTTCACTATAAAAAGTGCATATAAAAGCAATTCTGATTATAATTTCATGCATTGATCCTCACAGTGTATTAAAAAGGTTTTGAGAAACAAAATAATATCGAATTTTTTGATGGAAACGAAAGAAAGATGGGAAAGAGAATAAAATGAAATTGTAAAACAAAAATTTTTAATCAATGATTTAATTAGAAAATCTAATATCTTCACATTTGATATCAACCATTTATTTAGATACCAAATTAGAGCATTAAGGTTAAGAAAAGCTCTTTAGGGCGGTGTGTAGTGCTTTAGTTAAAGGGGTCCTCACAGCATTATCCTTGTATAATTGCAAGAGAAAAAGAACAAGAGATAATGAGCAAGAGAAGTGACAGTTGATGGTAATAAAGGCCCAAATGGGGTCCAATGCAGATGTCCAGTTGGGATCGTATGGGCCATACCACTGCCCGTAATCCCGTATCCTCTCCCTTACTTACCTTAAATAAGATTGCAGAAGAAAACCCTTTTGACATTGAGTTTTTTATTTCAAAAGAAATTATATTTCGATAAGTGTTAGAAATTCAAATTTTAAATATTTTGGATAATGTTTTTTAAAAATAATTATATAAATTAATTAAATTAAAATTTGAGTTTTTTTTTTTTTTTTAAATGTTGAATGCACGTAAGTAATGTCAAACTTGGAATATATAAGCATATGCATAAATATGCATGCATGGAGACATTTCATACTAAATTATAGGCAGGAGAAAATTGGCCCACATCATATTCATAAGATAAAAAACATATGAAAAAGTACTGTTTGATGCTAAGTTTAGAAAAGAAATTAATTAGTAAAAAAGAAGCTGTTGTAATTTAAATGATTGGGCTAAAAAATTAATGATTGTTTAAATATTAGAGGAAAGAGATATATTTGAAATTAAAATGGTTGGAGGACATGCAACTGATAAAATTAGAGGCGAGGAGGGTGTGAAGCAAGCCCTTGATTTAAAGCTGGGTCAGATTTGACACCATAATACTGCATGCATATACAAATTAAGCACGTAGAACTAAAATTCATGTACTATTAATTATATTTTATATACGAAAAATTGATACGATATCATAAATATTTAGGATTTAAATATTTCATCATTTTTTTATGAGTTAAAATATCAACAATATTAAAATCTGATTATCAACACTTAATATTTTTTTAATTTTTCTTTAAATCTTCCCTTATTTTGTAAAAAGAAAAAAAAACTTAAAATATAAGTAAAAAAAAAAAAGATGAATAAAAAATCATGGCGTTGTCTTGTCGACAATAATAAAAGAAAAGGAAGATATCGTGATTAAGATCCGATTGCTCCTATTAATTTGGGATCTTAACAGTTGATTTAGAAAAGATATTGTGGCATAGAAATAGTGGATGTGAAAGACCCAACCCAAGTCCATTGTTGGAATTGAACAGTAAGCAATTAGAGGACAGGTGGTCCAAGCTAATCCTACCAACATCTACCTGGATTCTAGCCAACACATGCTAATTAGGCTCCTTGACGAAAGGGACCTATTATTCCCCTCCCATTCCCTTTTATGCTTTTACAAAATCTACTTTTAACCTAATTTTTTTGTACGTTTATTGTAAAAATTATAATTTTTATATTTAAAATTATGAAAATTTAAATTTAAATTATTAAAATTAAAATTTTAAAACTTTATCAATAAATCACTCAATTATTAACAAATCTATACTCATGATGATACAACAAAGATTATTTTGTTTTAATTACAAGACAAGATTCTTGCCATCTATCATAAAAATTATAGATGTATTTTTAGTGTATAATATCATCTCGATGATATCTTACTAATAAAATTTTTTATATATTTATTTTAAAAATTAATATTTATTTATTAATAAAATAAAATAAAATAATTTAATTTATTAATAATATATAAAATTTATATATTTTAATACATCAAATATAAAATGAAAATTGTATTACATTCTTACCACATCATCCTTAAAACCCATCTAATAAAATTATTCCATGTCAGCTTTGACCAAATAAGATAGACGATATTTCATCAACAGTACGATGTTTATATGGTCTAGAATCTGGACTATCCAATCCGAGCAAACAAAGAGGAAACCGAGGCTATTGTTTTAACATTCAAGTCTTTTTCTATCATCTCTTTCTCAATTATAAACAAACAATAGTATGCAAATATATATTTTTTTGTAAATGAATTTTAAAATTTAGGAATTCATGAGTGAAAATCTTTCAAGGATACGCCCAACCTTCTTCAGAATCAAAGTTCACCCTGTTAAATGAGTGTATATGGAAAAACTTGTTATTATATCTCCCTTATTCAACTGAAAAAACTATTTACAAACATAAATAAAATATATTCAACTGAAATTTACAAATAGTAACACACAGAATAGTTTAATTTTTTTAAAGAGAGGGTTGAATTTCCTCTTTTGGATACATGTAGATTTTTTTTTTTTATGTATTATTTCGATGAACTTTATGACAGGCTATCAATCAAATCCAACTGAATTGTCAAAACAGCTCAACTTTTCCAGGTGCCAAACATTGGTTACATACAGATACAGGTCGACTCTTTTTCCTTGTTATGGTGTGGAAGCTGTATGTAGCTTTTTAGATTAAAAAATATTGGGGGTGTGGGATGTATCAGTCCATCACATCTGCTTGCCCATTTCCAGTTACCGCTTTATTTTCCAAAATCAATTAATCCCCTTCATTTTTGCTGAATCATTTGCTTAACTTGCAGGGAAAAGCGGGAGTGCTAGTAGCTGTCTACTTTGTTCAAATATAGATTAAAAATTAAATTATTTAAAACAATTATGATTCATACATTGTCGACTATATTTTATTTATTTAACATATTTAAAAATTTTAATTATTTAATAATGAATATGTAACAATTTTCAAATAATGATGTTTATTAATATATATTAAACACAATTTTAAATTTTGATATTTAATTTGATTAATTTATATAATTATTTTTAAAAAATAACATTCAATAAATTTAAATTTTAAATTTCAATATTTATAATTTCTTCATCAGTTTTTAACAGTCTTCATATGCCAAACAAACAATGAAATGACAAATTATTAAGGATATGCATCTATGGGCCAAATTTAACCACAGGCTTCAATTAAATATATTATTGTGAAATAACTATTTTACTGCATTACCGATTAAGGAAATACTAAAATTGGTGTTGCTTAGCAATTGATAAGATCCTTCTCAGTTTTAGATACACATGTTTTACTTCTGATCAGGGATGATAATTTAATTTATATTTGATGAATTTCGATTTTATTCGATCTTTTAAGATTAATTTTTTATTTTTTTAAAAATCAAATTTTGGATCAAAGTGGGTAATTATGGAATAAAATTAAGGTTAGAACAGGGTTAGATTTTAGAAAAATTCATCCTAATCCAACCTAATATATATCTAAAAAATTATTTTTAATTAATTATTTAATTTTATATTTACATTAAAAATAATATTTTATATTTTAAAATTAATATTTTATTAATTTTGAGTCAAATTAGATCAAATTTATGTATTAAAAATAAATTACCGAATCACATTATATTCAAATATTATAAATATAAAACCAAATTAAATTTGATGAAAATAAAAATTCATTTTGACCTGAACTGTTACCATTCCTGCTTATGATAAAAAGTGAGTGATGTGGTCCAAAGCGCTACTTAGAATGAAATCATTTTGACAGCGATACGGCCAGAGACAAACAAAAGGAACATAATCTAGATTCTAGCTAGCCAATTCAAACAATGTTTGGTTTGAAGCATTCACTATAACAGGCAGAAAAGGAAAAGAACAAGTTATCACTTCACTATACAAATTGAAGATTTCATTTTTATTATGAAGTCATTTCTTCAATATCTCAATTCTCAAGTCACCTTAAAACACCCACCCTCTAAACAAAGAAAAAGAAAAGCCTAAAAGGAAAGACTGAAGCTGCCGGGCATGCATCAGATCAGAATCAGATTGTTAATTAAAACTTATAGTAGTGACTCTCAATATCTCCCACATGGAAAATATAGTTCAAAAAACACAATCATATCGCTTTGCAAAACAAATTCCAAACACCCAGTTTCATCTTGATCTGAATCTCTTTTTCTCCCTCTAAAAAAGAAAAAAAAGGGTCATACCTAATTAGAGAAAAGTGGTAATGTACAAGATGTGCAGATAGTCTGAGGTCCACCCACAATCCAAACAACACCAACCTTTTTTTTTTTTTTTACACTTGGAAATTCAACTTCTTTCTTCCTCCTTCCCATGGCCTGGCAGCTGGCTCCGGTGTCATCTTGACAAAGAAGATAAGGGTTCACTGAGACAACTCTCTCCCTTTTTTGAAACTTTTTTTACCCTTTTTCTTTCTTTCTTTTCCTCATGACCAATTGGAGAAGGCCAACATCGATCTTGTGATGTGCCTGTGGCAATTCAATACATCAATCAAAAGCCACCGATGCTCATGTGTAGTATCTTCTTCAACCAAAAATCTGTATATCTCTGATCTTAATTCAAAACCCCAAAAAGAAGAGAAAAAAAATCAATCATGGCGAAGATGATTGCTGCAAAAGTGAATGAGTGAAGGCCAAACGATGTTTTGCTTCCTCTTTCCAATAACGCTCAATGTCTTCTGCTATCCTCTTGGCATCCATTGATGTACCTAGCAATCCACGTTTAGTGAACCCCACGGCGTATAGCCCACATTCACCTTTCCACCCATTAGGGAATGGCCTTCGAGGGTACCCATCTTTCTCTGAGAACATCTCTCTTTCCTGACAATTTCAATTTCTCTTTTCTTCAGCTTTTTTATATCAAGTTGTGGAAATTTTTAATATATCTTTAAGAATCAAGAAAATATATAAAATAAACATAGTAAAAAAATGAAAGGGAAAGAAAGATAAAGTGTAAACCTTTAGCCAAGAGGGTACGTTGCTTTTATAACCAGTTGCTAAGATGATTGCATCAAATTTCTCAGTTTTGCCATTGACAAACTCCACAGCATGTCGTTTTAGGCGCTTGATGCTTGGACATACCTACGGTACCAGCAGTTCTAAATTCTGAATTTCGAAATTTAATATATGTAGGAGCTACTCCTATTAATTAGAACTTATTTGAACATAGCAAGAAAACTTCCAAATGCAAAGAAAATATTAAAATTCAATAATTACTCCCTAAAAAAGTTCAAAAGTATGATTAAAACTCATAATGTTAAAAAACTCACAAGACTTCATTTAGTTGGTAAAAGAGTTTTCTTCTTTTTTTTTTTATTTCATTTTTGTGAAAAAGCATTGTAAGAGTAAAATTTAAAATGCATAGATCAATATAAAAAAATGCAACCTTAAAATTGTTTGGTAACAAAATATGAGAATTTCCCTTTATACCTAACCCCCCCCCCCCCCCCAAAAAAAAAAAAAAAGGAAAACTCGTAATGATTACGAACTCCATCATAAGCCTCAATGCCATAACTTTTTTATTGGAAAGTTTGCAAGTTTTGGAATGTATTACAACATAAAAAATGGAGGGGGAATAATTGCGAAACTATCTTGCAATAAAAAGAAAGCATGAAACACAGTATTATAGGATCAATCAAACACACTAGTTCGTTATTTGCCAATGGAAAAGTGATGTGATTTCAATGACGAAAGGCAACTACCTTAATGTCTCCACTTTTGATTTTAGCAAGCGTGCCAACATCTAAGACGGGGGTCTTTCCGGACAGATTCTTGAGTTCAAGGGGACCCAAGCGTGGCCGGTCCAATCCAAAGCGAGCAGTATCACCGAGCATCAACCAGGATACAATCAGCAAGAAACGGTCGACAAGCCGAATGGGCAGCCACTTGAGCAGCCACATGGACAACCCGAAAGTTGATCTCCCCAGCATCTCTCGTGGGAGGACGTGCACCTTCAGTTCCATAAACAAAAAGTTCAATGGACTAAAAAAGAAAGGACACATAAAAGACAGACTTGATGCGATGAGCCCCTTTGTTGTGTAGTATGGGCTAATAGCGTCCAGGCCATTCCTCCATATTTTTGGACTTCGCTTCTTTATTCTTTTACAGAGGAAAAGTTAATCATAGGGGAAAAAAGGGGTGAAGATTCATGATTACGACAACATATATAAGATCCTAAGTTTTTTTAACGATGTTGCGCATGCTTGGGAATCCCAAGAAAGTGAAAGATCAAATATGTTTTTTCCTTTTTTTTTTTCCAGCACCTAAAATTTAATAGTAAATTGCTTTGATCGTCTTTAATCGAATAAACCTTTGGAACTTGAAGCTGCAAACTCTGGCAATTCCATGAATGAAATAAGTGTCAATGACATGATCTTAGACTAGCTTGTTTTGCTTATGATGTAAATCTCTTTGGAAAATTTAGACAATGAAAAACCATGTTTTAATTTTTTTTAATGATGTTTTATTTGACTATAGATACTAAGCAATACTTTTTTATTTTATCACTTTTTATAATAAATTAGAAAAAAATGGAATTCCATCCAGGTTTTTGCCCATGTATAATGAAATTTGAGAAAAACCTAAAATTCAAAACTTTGTTCAATGTTCAAAAACTAGCTTTTTCCTTAATCAAGAATTCTAAAACCTGAGTGGACAGCTAGAAAAACCTTTTTTTTATTCCAATGACCTTTATCATAAAACAATCCAAAAAATTAAAAATAAAAATCCTTTAGTGGGTGTATTTTTGCTTTAATATTTAGAGAGAAAGAGAAATTAAAAAAAAAAAAAAGAGAGGAAAAGAGAAAGAGAGACGCCATGGTTAAGAATTCTTACTGTATCTCTGACCACAAGTGAAGGCCTAGCATTATGATTGCAAAGATCCAAACACACCTCCATTCCTGAATTCCCACACCCCACCACCAAAACCCTTTTTCCTCTGAACTCTTCTCCACTTTTAAACAAACTTGTATGCCTTATGTCCCCACCAAATTCTCCTATTCCTTCCATCTGCGGCACCACCGCCTCCGCATTCTCTCCTGTCGCCACCACCAACCACCGGCACACATATTCCATCTCCTTCCCCTTTACCCCAACACTTCTCACGCGCCAAAACCCGAGCGTCGCATCATACTCAGCTCTTGAAATCGTCTCATTGAACCGTGGTTTGATATCAAACTTCATAGCGTATGCTTCCAAGTAATCCACGAATTGTTGCTTAGTAGGGTAGGTAGGGAAATCACTAGGGAACCCCATCAGGGGAAGTTCGCAAAACTGCTTTGGCAAGTGAAGGCGTAGACGATCATAGGTCTTGAGTTGCCACAAAGATGCTATGCAGTTAGATCTCTCTAGCACTATACTTGGAACACCTTTCTCTTTGAGACAAGCGGCTGTGGCTAGACCGGAAGGCCCTGCACCAACGATAAGTGGCCCTGGAACGCATAAGCAAGGCGACGAAGAGGACGAGGACGAAAACTTATTCATCTTCTCAATAAATATGGGATCATGAGCTTGTTTTCCTTCTATTTCTCTCAAGCAGTCCATGAACAGAGAGCAATTTGAGACAAATTTTTATACCACTATATCCTTTCATTAGCTATACGTAGCTATACCAACTAAATAGCTACAGCTAGCATAACTTTCAGGTTGAGGTTTTGATGAGTTTACACAGGAAAAAAAGGAAACCAAAACAGCAAAGGGAAAAGGCAAAACTGAAGAGAAACCATTCTATCTCAACAGGAAAAAACGTGGTGTACGTTGTTGTAGGAGAAAGTGACTAAGTTTTGAAGATTAGGCCGAGATTTAGTTATAGATTTACTCTCTTATCTAAAGAGAGATTAGGTTTCTATAGGGAAATTCTCCCTTAAAAATTGGAGAGGATTAAGAATAAGAGGGTTCTTATCCACTTTGTGTTGAAATGAGTTGTTTGAATCACTATGTATTTGTTCAATGAAGGGCTAAGCGGAAGATGAGCAACAAGTTCGGGGCTTAAACAGCATTCATTCAACACTGAAAGAGAGAGAGAGAGAGAGAGGGAGAGAGATTGGAAGAACGAAAGAATAAAAGAAAGAGGGGGAGAGAGAGATGGTGATATGTCTATGACTCTCTCTATATATATTCCTTTTATTCAGTGAAGAATTGATCATGTTCATATTTGTTAGGGCCGGGAATTAAGTTTAAGAAGGCCAAAAAAGAAATTAAGTGGGGACATTTATTATTTTTATTATTAAAAAAAGAATTTATTTACTTCAAACACCCCATTGGGACGTTACTCTGTCTGTCATAGCAGAAACTTGAAGGGTGTGAATATAATTAGTTAAAAAAAAAGAAAGAAAGAAAGAAAGAATGGACTTCATTTTTTTTTTTACAAAATCCTTAAATTGATCCCAATTAGGATAAGTTAAAACAGTCATTAATAATGTAGAAGAGTGTTGGTAGGATTCTCGATTATGGTTGACACTCATAGGTTGGACCGGACCAAGTTGGGGGCATGGTGGATTGTGAATCGTAGCCAAGATGTCCACCACATCCAATCGTCTTCAATTTGGACTATTACTATTAGGATATTTTCTGATTCTAGGGCCGACTCTGTAATCATGGGAGATTAGATTAAAGTCCTTCTTTCAAGTAAACAAAAGAGAGTGAGATTTCTATGCATGTGCATTTGGTTCAGCTATGCATGTATCATTCATCAAAGTACGTATATTTCAGCTTTGATCTTCATCTGTTTGACTGGTAGCCACTATATATCCCAATAAGGATTGGATTTCATTTAAAGAATTTGATGATAAATTTGTTCAAGTTGAAAACTCATCAGTTATTCCAAAATCAAAGATAGTGTTCACAACAAGATGGAGATTAAATCAAAGGTTGTCTTCTTCGTATTAATTTTGAATTGAAAGTTGGGAGCTAGTTTTGGTTGAATGAAAGTAAATGTATAGCTTTTAGACACATGGGAATGGAATAGTTGAAAGATTCAAAAATGTTAAAAGTACAATGATTAACAGTTGTTAAAAAAAGAGGCATGGGAAATAAAGAGAGAGAGAGAGAGAGAGAGAGAGAGATAGAGATGCAGCAGACCAATTCAAAGGGGGAGCCTGCAAATCCAAATCTGATGATTGGAAAATATCAGCAAAGAAGTCGATTGAAATGAACCCAATCCCCAAATGGGTGGCATACTTGCGCAAAAGAGGGCCACCCAAACTGTGGTGGTTATTAACTACCTCTCTGCAAGGTAATCATTTCCTTACTCTTCGCTCACATAACTAACTGTCCCTCCAACCAAATTTTAGTTTTCTCTTTTTATAAACAAGAAAAAAGTTACCCGTTGTTATTTTCTTTTACTTTTTGCAACACTTGAAAACCTAACAAACCAAGGTTTAATGACAAAAACAAAATCTTAAAATCTTAAGATTTTATATTTAAATCTGATTACATATAAGTTAGATCCAATTTTATATGAAATTTATCTAAAATGTTGGTTCATTCATTAGATTAATATAAATTTTTTATATAATATTTGAATATAATTATAATTTTTTATATACTAATAATTTCGTTAAATAAAGTTCTGAAAGCGAATTCAATTTCTTTATTGTACTTTTTTAAACATTTAAATTAACCTTTATTCCAGTTATACCATCGCTCAATCAAGGGAGCATGAAAGAATAAATAAACTTAATTATTAGAAGATCTTCAATATACTAAAAGACAAATAATTCGACATATTTTTTTAAGCCAAATAAAAAGGATTTAAAGAATTTCAAAAAAACAAAATTATATTGGTCATAAAGTACAAATTATGAATTGAGCACATGATTAGGGTTTACATTTTAATTCCCATTGTCTCTTCTAAAGTCAAATATTTCATTTGACTTTAATAAACTATTATTTTTCTTTTTTAACTTTCTGACACTCAATTATTGCTAGCTGACACGTTTTGCAACGATGAAAACATTGAACTTTTTCAACCAAGAAAAAAAATGTGCAGTCCTGTTTCATAAATAATATATAAGTTAAAGGTTTATATTCACAAGATCAATTCAATTGGTAAGTGAGAAGGTTTTTTTTTTTTTTTTTTTTAATTTGTCAACTAGAATTTAATTATTGGGAAAAGCACTTAGAAAATAAATCGTTAATGGATTTTAACAAACTTTGAGCTACCTTTAATTATATCATCAAAACGAATTTTCTCTTGCCAAACATTTTTGGTTTTTTTTTTTTTTTTTTTTTTGAAGTTTCAATGGTCATGAGAGCACTGAGATAATTGAAGCAGATTCGCAAGCAACATTCTAACCACAATATCTTCAAAATATACAATGTAAACTTATCTTATCTTATACTAGTAAAAAGCAAGAGATCTATGCATGTAGGGCACTGTTTCATATATAGCCATGGACTGGTTAGCAAAGTAGGCAAACAATATATATACTTGTCATGAGATCAACAATTGATTTTTCAAGGAAAGAAGGAAAAAAATTCAATCAAAATTATTGAAGACCAGCAAATTCATCTAGCAAACTTGAGTCTTGTCACATTCCAATTTGCAATCAATCACTGATGTAAAAAACTCACAGAAGATAACACACCTACACATTGTTACAAAATGTGATTAAAGGTTCAGTTTGACCCACTATCCAATCAATTCGAACCAGGTAAATTCCAATTTTTTGAACATATCCAGTCAAACTTAGTTACCGTTTGATCACCTGACTTTGTCCCAGTCATCCTATCATCACGGCGAAATAAATGTTTAACAGGAATGTGTCATTCTTCTCTCATTATTATAGGCTGTGAATATTATTATTATTATTATTATTATAATTCATTCATTTATTTATGTTTTGGTTTCTTCTTGTTTGATATAAGAAACAAAAATGGGAAAATATGGGCATTTGGTACCCAAGAAATTTAATTTGAAAGCTATGAGTAGGTGAGAAACGGATTGGAAATATATGGATACTTCACCAAGCCGTACTCCTCCTATCGAGAAATTATAGCACTTGTTGCATTGTCCTTTGTCCTTTGATTCATTTCAAAGTTCATACCCATGCTTTTAACTATAACTTCACTATTTCATGGTTTTCTTAAATTTTTTTTGGATATGGTTCGTCATTCTCTTCACATTTTACCCCATGCATTAAAAAAAATGAGTTCGAATAGTTCATCTTAATTTAATTATTAAAAAAATATATATTTATATCAAGTTAAGATTTTATATGTCCTTGAGTAAGAATAGAAACTAAAATGTGATGGCTATTACTCCTTAATTAGTTAATTTCTTAGTTTTATGAGGGATAGAGTGGAATCGAAACTTCTGAAAATATACCGAATAAGGAAAAAAGAAAGTTCCAGTGTAGCAGTTACATCAGTAGAAATTAATTGAGAACAAAAATTAATGAGATGTGGCAAAACATTCATCATGGCTTTTCCTTTTTCATATGTTTATAATTAGTTTTGGAGTTAGAGTTGAGTTGACGCATTTATATATGTATCTCATGCTTTTGTTTTGATTGCTTCATGTTCAAACCCATATAAGCCAAGAGCGATCAACATCTTCAATAAATATTGAGATGTCATGTTCTGGTGTGTTTTGGTAGTTCGTCACGTTTCAACCAGCAAAGTCCTGAAAAATATTTATGAAAACAACTATAACATACTAAATTCTCCATTTTATACATGAAAAAGGCAGGGTTTAATATCGAAATCTTAAATACAATTATTAAAAGATTTAGAGACTAAAACCGTCGATACCTTCAATTGAAAACGCACAGCTCAATTAAGAACATCGAAGAACAAAAAAGCAAATGGAGTAGCAGTTGATTTGGGAATGCCAGCAGCATGTATATGTTCCCTAACAGAAATATTTGATGCAATTGTCACCTGTTGGGAGGTTCAAATTAAGAGATTGGGGGGATGGGGGCGGGGTTCCTCACAAATGTCATACATCTTTGTGTACGGAGAGGTAGGGACATCGAGGCCGCAATTTTGGCATGAGGTAAGATCATAAAAAGGAGGGGACTGCTGCTAAAACGGCTTCTTTCTTTCTTTCTTTTTGGTAAAGAACTTGTTAACTTGCAGGTTGTGGGGGATGATCCCAAATACTGGGAAGTTATGTCATCCGTACTGGCAGTTGGTTGGCTAGATATGGTGGTGAAAATGTTGCGCTTTCATGGATCTTATCAGTTAGATCAACTCAACAATCGTGAGTGATGTTGGTAAGAAATTGATTGTTATGCATTGCATGCATTTGACATATGTAGTTTTATGCTTCTGTAATAATATTATTATGTTTTGAGTACCATCAACCATAAGCATCTAATTCATTCTCCAAGACTTTGAGTGGTTTGTGTAAATATTGGGTCATTGATTTGACCAATGTGTTAAAACTTGGAAACAATGCCTAGTGTGCTGGTTCTGTCTTTGCTGCTTTCAGACACATAGTTCTGTCTCTTTTTTTGCATTTTCCTTTTTTGGATAAGTAAATTTTATTTTCCGAAAGATAAGCAGGTAGTTCTGCAACAAGTTTACAGGCAGGATACTACCAGAACAAGAAAAAACCAGTACAATTCATCCAAAAGTCTATTCCTCTAAACCCCACTTTTCACGAGATAGATTGACTTGATCAGCAGCTATCTTCCTTCGCCCTGTCAATCTGAACCTGACAGCTTCAACTATCTTGTGTAGGTGTTGATCTGTAGTTTGTATCTTCCTACCATGCAGTCTCCCGTTCCTCTCTGTCCACACAACATACATGTGTGCGCTCCAAGCTAATCTCAAAATCATTGAGTTTAAAGCTTTTACCTTTCAGGCGCTGCTGACACCAATGGAATTCATTGCTCCAATCCGTAACTTGCCTGATCACCACACATAGCTGCGGAAAATCCACCCATACTTTCTAAGTAAAGGGTCAAGTGAAGAACAAGTGGTCTCTTGATTGCGGAATGTACATATCATTCAAATGGGAATAGACATTCCCCCTGGATTTAATTCGCTTCTTAGTGGGAACTCTGT